CTGTAGTAACACTGGATCAATAAGAGATGATCCTTACTGGACCTCTAGGAAGAACAATTTAGAAGTGATAGAGCTATCCAGTATAAATAAAGTTAGTTTAGTTTAGGTTTCCTCCTGTAGTAACACTGGATCAATAAGAGATGATCCTTACTGAACGCTTAGGAAGAACAGTTTAGAACTGATAGAGCTATCCAGTACAAATAAAGTTAGGTTAGTTTCGGTTTCCTCCTGTAGTAACACTGGATCAATGAGAGATGATCCTTACTGGACCTCTAGGAAAAACAGTTTAGGGATTGGCATAGCTATCCAGTATAAATAGAGTTAGTTTGGTACATACTTTGATTAAGCATACTTCGATGAAAGTGTATCCATGCAAAGATAATCCACGCAATCAAAGAAAATTCAACAGTGTAGAACCTAAAGTAACGATAAGGAAAGAAAGAGTTGAAGGTTGAACGCAATTCGTTGTGAAATTGAGGGACTGTATCTTTTACTCTAGGTGTCAATACATGGCCAAAGCACTTTCCAACGTGCGGAGGATGTTGCCAATCTCCAATAAACATCAACAACCCAACGTACAGCAACTTAGGAATTATCAAGTTCACCAACTATGGTGCTATCCCATCAAACGTGAAAATAACTGCAAAAAATAACGGTCACAGTTACAGTGTATCATTCACTGGCTACACAGACAGTTCTATCCCGAAAATAACTTACGGAGGCTTGCCTGGAGAGTTCAAACTGGCGGGATTTCATTTTCATTGGGGGAGTGATGTTAGCCAGGGATCTGAACATCGCGTAAACAACATGGCTTTCCCAGCTGAGGTGGGTATAGGTGCATCATCTATGAACTTTAAGCTGAATTTAGTACTGTTGTAGAATTTGAATTTATACTGGACTTTTATGGAGAACAATCTTTTCATTTCCAGTTACATTTGGTGCATTTCAATACAAAATATTCCTGCGTTCTTGAAGGCAAGAAGCATCCTGATGGTCTGGCAGTTCTTAGCGTGCTTCTTAAGGTAGGAAGTTTATATTCAGTCAATCTAATTAACATAATATACGACATTACAAGAAAGACTCAACCAGTCTGTGTCCAAGGTTGTATAAGCTTTGTCTCAAGTTCGATGCTTTAATATTAAATTCCGATAATTTTTACTGTTTAAATTACTTTGTAATTATTTCGATTAAATAAATTCTCTTCACAGCAAGGATACAACAACAACAATTACAATTTTCTAAATCTCGCGGCACAAGTCACCAACCCAGGAGGTATGTACAACAAACAAACAAACGAACAAACAGTAACAAGTCAAAAACACTAATAAACAAACAACAAACATACAATATTTTATCGCCATGCAAACATACAAAGAACTTATAACAAACATACAAACAACAAGCTACAAACAAACAAACAAACAAACAAACAAACAAACAAACAAACAAACAAACAAACAAACAAACAAACAAACAAACAACATGCCATCAAAATATTTCTGACAATCCAACCTCTTGTTAGGGACCCCACTTTAATACACAGACAGGTCTAAAAATGTATACAAATTTGCGTTGGAATACTTCATCTACAAAAAGTAATCTACTATTAGTAAAACAGACACTATGTTCCAACAATACATAATTCTCATCATTAGAACATTAATAAAACTGATACCTTTCTAATTTGAACACTGCTATGTCCCTTCATTCTTTGCATTCCTCGTTTGCACTTGACGTCATGGTGGCTATGTTGGAGGAACGCTATCAAAAGAATATCATTAGCAGCTGTTGTCTTATAAATCTCAAAAGATTGATCGCAAACCATCAATCATGATCATGACATTTCTTTTCATTTAGACACATCAGACATTGCTGGCTTCTCATTAGCGGGTTTACTCCCCAATGATAAATCATTCTATCGCTACCAAGGATCATTGACCACCCCTGGATGTGAAGAAGTGGTCACATGGACTGTATTTGCCAACACTGTTGAAATCTCTGAAGCACAGGTAACCATGCACATTATATCGTGTGAAACTGTTAATTGAAAATTTATATTTTATTAATCTCAAATGTGGTGGTTCAGTGTTAGACATATCATTTTCGGGTAGTTGACACACAAATCATGGCAGGTTAATGAGCTTATTGTAAAAGTACTACCTAACTTGGACCTCCACGTCTGAAGTATTATTTTCAGGTAATTCAGACTAGAGCTGCTCCCATCGGTTAATTTTCGTAATCCATTAATCGTTGTCAACAATCGATTAATCGTATTGATAATTAGTTTAAATATGAAAGGCCCATGGTGGTTTACACCAGTCAGTTTAAATCTGTGTTTAAAATGAACGTTAATCACAATTATAGATTGCGCACGTTCTCGCGCTCTTACACTTCACACAAGAGACATGAAAAGACAGGAACGATATTTGTTAATTTAGGCCCTTACCTTTGACACTTCTTTGACACAAGTAAATTTGCAAGACTCAGACTCCTTTGGATAATTGGTTTATGTCCGCACGCCGTAATAAATTCTTCTAACAAGTGAAAGTGAAATTGATGTTTTGAATCAATTTGTCATTTAAGCCCCGTTTACACTACGCTCAATGTTTAGCACGAAAATTGGTACGCGTACCACTTTTTTGGTTTTTGGTTCTTAGACCGATTACGGTTGTAGTAATTTGACAGCTCTAATTGCTTTGAACTAATGGTTGGATAAGAACACTAGGTCTTGTACTCATGGGACAAAACTCAAAGAAATATAAATTAGAAAATTTAAAAGAAATACAGTATTCCTTGTGTTCTTACCCAACCATTAATTCATAGCAATTAGAGCTGTCAAATTAATGAAATACGTTGTAGCTAATTCAGTTTTTTTTAGACACACTGAAGTTCAGACACATGTCACGGCAATTTACTGTGGAATACTACCCACACTTGACGTGACCTCCATATTTGAGATCTCTTTTTCAGGTAGTTCAGACACAAAGCGTGATAGCTTATTGTAGAATTATCTTGAACTGTCTGAGCCAGTGTCAGGTAGTGTCAATAATATTAACACGCTTTCGTTGGTAGGGATTCCAATATCAATATCAATATTTTAATTGACCATATTCAAATGCAACTACCTGAAAAATATAATTAAAAGTACTAATGCCTGCTTTTGACAAACAAAGGTAGATAGAGTTAAACATAGGATACTACCTACACTGGACGACCACGTTTGAGATACCTTTTTCAGGTAGTTCAGACACAAACCACGGTAGCTTATTGTAGAATACTACCTACACTGGACCACCACGTTTGAGATGTCTTTTTCAGGTAGTTCAGACACAAACCACGGTAGCTTATTGTAGAATACTACCTACACTGGACCACCACGTTTGAGATATCTTTTTCAGGTAGGTTCAGACACAAACCACGACAGCTTATTGTAGAATAATACTACCTATACTGGACCACCACGTTTTGAGATATTTTTCACGTAGTTTAGACACAAACCACGACAGCTTATTGTAGAATACTACCTAACCCCACGTTTTATGTTTCTTTTCCAGCTGAACGCACTACGTGGTATGAAATATTGTGAACAACCAGTTGAAACCGCAGTGAACAACCAGTTGAAACCGCTGGTGGATAACTACAGACCCACTCAGCCACTAAAGGATCGCAGGGTGCTGGCTAACTTTAGAAGCAATGGCCAGTCAGGTGGGCTATGACGCATTTTCCATGTCAAAAATAACATTGTGTGTGCAGATTACCTATAATGAGCATTGCACACACAGTGATCTAATCACATAATGTATATCCGTAGATCTCCTTAGACTTCCTTAGATCTCCTTAGCGATCCTTAGACCCCTTACACCTCCGTAGGCCACCATAACCATCCTTAGATCTCCTTAGACTTCATTACACCTCCGTAGCCATCCTTAGGCCACCTATATGCCCCCTTAGCTAGATCTCCTCAGCAATGCTTTCACTCTCCCCCCCCCAAAAAAAAATTTCCTCCCTAACTGCTCAAAATTTCCTTATTTTTTACAAGATTTCCTTGCACCCATGCTTCGCATCTGAGGGACAAATATCTTTCTTCTTCACTTCACTCTTCGTGTTTTCTTGTTCTAAAGAACCACCAACATTGCTTTCCTTTGCATGATTCGAAATCTTTTCATCTTTCCTCCTGGAACCTCTCTCTTTCCTTGACATTTCAGCCTTTCTGGGCTTACTCCTGTCTTGTCCAACTTCCTCCCGACTTTCTCCACGTTGTTCTTGACCTCTGCTTGGTCTACTATCATTTCTTTCCGTCCCCCTCTGACCATCACTGCTTCTCATCCGCGGTGTCCCGGACACATGCCTGACCTGCAATCTGGCCTTCCGTTACAGTGCCACGAGTGTTATTTTTCTCATTATTCCCCTCATTCTTCCTTAAACTGCTTCCACTCGATCCTCGAGCTTTATTTTTATCATTACTTCGCTCTCCTTTATCAGCGACTCTGCAAGCCTGTTCTTCATTGTTCTTCACAGTTTTAGCTTAAAGAATGCTAATGCCCCCCCCTGGTTACGCAACTGCTGCATGAGAGTGGCGTAAGAAAGGAACCATTTGTATCGTTTGACGTACACTGATAATCATTCGTTGCCAAACAACTTTAGGCAATTGTACACGCAAATATATTTATAGGGAAAAAAAATTATGGCTTAGCATTGACTTTAATTGTTTACACTTTTAAAGTTTCCCGATTCCCGGATTATTCCCCATTTTAAAAATAGCCGCCCATATAGGTGTAATAATTAGCAGTTATTGGATGAGGTTTTTGTGATATGCGGAATTATCAAGGTCAGTCTCGGTAAGCGTTATCAGCCGAGCCGAAGGCGAGGCTGATAACGCTTACCGAGACCTTGATAAATTTGCATATCACAAAAACCGAATTCAATTATTGTTTTATTATACATTTGTTTCTGTTAAATAGATACCGCTTGCTAATCATCGCAGGCTCATTTGCAGATAACTCAGTTATCTGCTAGCAGATAACTGAATTTTCTGTAGGTTGCGTGATTGCGCGATTTAACTGTAAGCTCTTAGCCGATGAAATTGCTTTTACCAACTACAATGTATAATAATGACTAATAATTGGATGATTTTTCAGCTACATCTGAGCAAAAGTGGGATTATCATTCAGCCAAATACGGTATGTAAATCTTCGTTTACATTACTGATGATCATGGTGGCATCATCATGAAACGTCATCAGTGGTTTATATACAATAGCCTGCTGGTTATTCTATGACCAAGGTTTGATTCCTGCAACTTCACCTTATATGAGAAGATTGCTTCGAGTACTACTTTACTAAATACTGTAGAGTTTCTCTAGGCATACGAGTAAATATCAAAATTTGAGGCGTCTACACGAGATATAACTAATTAAGGAATAATATATTCATGAATTTGTGCTTAGAGCTCGACAACTGGCCTCTGGAACTCAGTTGGTTAGAGCGCTGCATCGAAATCGCAGGACAGCAGGTTCAATTCCTGCCAGAGGTCTATAGTTGCATTCGCAACTGCTCCTGGTTAGATCTAATAAATGTATAAAAATTAACACTCGCAATTTCCATCTGGAAACAACCTTTCTCTAGGTGCTTTGGTTTCCTCCTGTTGCAACACTGGATAAATAAGAGATCATCCTTACTGGACCTCTATGGAGAACAGTTTGTATCCAGTAATACTGGATCAATAAGAGATGACTCCTACTCGACCTCTAGAAAAAACATTTTGGAACTTACAGAGCTATCCAGTATACATAAAGTTAGTTTAGTTTAGGTTTCTTCCTGTAGTAACTTACTGGACCTTTAAGATTGGCATAGCTATCCAGTGTAAATAGAGTTAGTTCGGTACATACTTTGATTAAGCATACTTCGATGAAAGTGTATCCATACAAAGATAATCCACGCAATTAAAGAAAATTCAATAGTGTAGAACCTAAAGTATCGATAAGGAAAGAATGCGTTGAAGGTTGATTGTTAAACGCAATTCGTTGTGAAATTGAGGGATTGTATCTCTTACTCTAGGTGTCAATACATGGACAACGAACTTTCCAACGTGTGGCAGAACTAGCCAATCTCCAATAGACATAAAAAACCTGACGTACAGCAACTTAGGAGATATCAAGTTCATCAACTATGGTGCTATCCCATCAAACGTGAAAATAACTGCAAAAAATAACGGTCACAGTTACAGTGTATCATTCAGTGGCTTCACAAAATGTTCTATCCCGAAAATTGAAAACGGAGGCTTGCCTGGAGTGTTCAAACTGGTGGGATTTCATTTTCATTGGGGGAGTGATGTTAGCCAGGGATCTGAACATCGCGTAAACAACATGGCTTTCCCAGCTGAGGTGGGTATAGGTGCATCATCTATGAACTTTAAGCTGAATTTAATCCTGTTTTATGCTAGACTTCAATGGAGAACAATCTGATATTATTCTTTTCATTTCCAGTTACATTTGCTACATCTCAATACGAAATATTGCGGAGTTGCTGAAGGCGTGAAGCATCCTGATGGTCTGGCAGTTCTTAGTGTGCTTCTTAGGGTAGGAAGTTTATATTCAGTCAATCTAATTAACATAATATACGACACTATAAGAAAGACTCAACCAGTCTGTGTCCAATAGACCTTTCCCCTTTTGAGTGAAACTTTGATCTAGGCAAATCTGGACAAAAATTTCATCACAGCTTGAAAGAGCATCACAAAATTAGTAATATTCCGAAGTTTCGTTGCGAAATGTTGTAAAATGCGGATAATATAGCCTTGCGAAGTTTGCCGTTTTTCAGTCATTTTGTATTACAAATGGGAAATTGATAATCAGTTTGATCATTGCAAGGTTGTATAAGTTTTGTCTCAAGTTCGATGCTTAAATATTAAATTCCGATAATTTCTGTTGTATAATTTACTTTGTAATTATTTTGATTAAATAAATTTTTTTCATAGCAAGGAGAAGACAATAAGAATTACAATTTTCTAAATCGCGCGGCACAAGAAGTCACCGAGCCAACCGATATGTGGAACAACAAACAAACAAACCAAACACCAAACACCAAACACCAAACACCAAACACCAAACAAACAAACAAACAAACAAACAAACAAGCAAGCAAGCAAGCAAACAAACAAACAGACAGCAACAAGTCAATTAGTCAGAAACACTAGTAAACAAACAAACAAACAAACAAACAAACAGACAGACAGACAGACAGACAGACAGACAGACAGACAGACAGACAGACAGACAGACAGACAGACAGACAGACAGACAGACAGACCATCAAAATATTTCTGACAATCCAACCTCTTGTCAGAGACCCAACTTTAATGCGCATAGACAGGTCTAAAAATGTATACAAATTTGCGTTGGAATACTTCATCTACAAAAAGTCATCTACTATTAGTAAAACAGACACTATGTTCCGACAATACATAATTCTCATCATTAGAAAATTTATAAACTGATACCTTTCTAATTTGAACACTGCTATGTCCCTTCATTCTTTGCATTCCTCGTTTGCACTTGACGTCATGGTGATCATGTTGGAGGAATGCTATTAAACAAAAGAATATCATTAGCAGCTGTTGTCTTATAAATCTCAAAAGATTCATCGCAAACCATCAATCATGATCATGACATTTCTTTTCATTTAGACACATCAGACATTGCTGTCTCCTCATTAGCGGGTTTACTCCCCAATGATAAATCATTCTATCGCTACCAAGGATCATTGACCACCCCTGGATGTGAAGAAGTTGTCACATGGACTGTATTTGCCAACACTGTTGAAATCTCTGAAGCACAGGTAACCATGCACGTTATATCGTGTGAAACTGTTAATTGAAAACTTATATTTTATTAATCTCAAATGTGGTGGTTCAGTGTTAGACATATCATTTTCAGGTAGTTGACACACAAATCATGGCAGCTTAATGAGCTTATTGTAAAAGTACTACCTACGGCTACACTAAACCTCCACGTCCGAGGTATTATTTTCAGGTAATTCAGACACAAACCACGTTACTGTAGAAAACTACCTCTAACCCCACATTTTATGTTTCTTTTTCCAGCTGAACGCACTACGTGGTATGAAATATCGTGATCCAGTCAACAACCAGTTGAAACAGCTGGTGAATAACTACAGACCCACTCAGCTACTAAATTGTCGCAGGGTGTTGGTTAACTTTCATGAGAAGCAATAACCATGGCCAACACGGCGGGCAACACTATGGCCATGACGACGGGCTATGACGCATTTTCCATGTCAAAAATAACATTGGGTGTGAAATTTACTTTATGAGCATTGCACACACAATGATCACTTGCACACCTAATAATCACGGAAGAGATTATTTCGCTGGCCTCAGAGTAACAAAACGTAACAAAGCAACGGTTTTACCAACACTAACCCTACTCTTAACACCAACTCTAACCCTAATCCTTACCCCAACCCTACTCCAAATTTGTCTCTAAACCAATCTTGAAGAAAAAGTTTTGACGAAATGTCATTCTGAGGTCAGCGAAATAGTCGATGGTAATAATCACTTGCACACCTAATGACGTATGATGTAGTCTAGTATAATGTATATCCATAGATCTCCTTAGACATCCTTAGACCTCCCTACACCTCCGTAACCATCCTTAGGCCTCCATAACCATCCTTAGAATTCCTCTGTCATCCTTACACCTCCGTAGCCATCCTTAGGCCACCCATAATGGCCTCCTTAGATCTCCTCACACCTTCTTAGCCAATAGCCATCCTTAGACTTCATTACTTCTCCTCAAGGGCAGTCTCAAAATTTCGAAACTTTTCTCTATATGCGAGTAACCCGCAAAATGGGGGTATTAAGGAGGTAAGAAAAAAAACGCGAAAAATCTTTTATTTGAAGTGTCGATTATACATATATATATATATATATATATATATATATATATATATATATATATATATATATATATATATATATATATATATATATATATATATATTT